ATAATATATATGTATATAAATTAACTGATAGATATATAATTGTTGTAAAATGATGGCAAATATTAATAATAATAATTTATATTTAATTTATATACCTACTTTATGTCTTAGTCACTATACTTATAGAAAATTATTAAAATTATTAGTTGCATAAAATTAAATATAGAAAATTATTTAAAATGTAAAAACACCTATGTATAAACATTGTTTTAGATTCTAAGCGGAAGGAGGAATGTATTGATTTTACTATGATGTTAATTTCTCTTTCTTATTCTTTTTTTATTTATTCTGTAAACACTTTTTCTCCCTCTAAACTTGCTAAAAAATATCAGGTGTAGCATCTTTTCTGAAAGGCAATATTCTTGAGATGGTACTTTGGAAAGATCATTTTTCGATTTTCGAAACGCGATACTCGAAATAAAAGTGGTTAAAGGAGAAAAACGTATGATTTTACGATTTTATAATATTAAATAATTACGGACGACGTTTTCTACCAGAAATATTGCTTCAAATGAAAAATGACAAGAGATCTTCTTTGTTGAATTTTGGATTTTGTCCCTTATGGTTTAAAGTTTGGAAAATTTTAGCCATTTTCGAGCTATTTATAGACATTTTAATTTTGGGAGTTTTTTTGTTGTAATTCGATTAAAAATATTTGTAAAAACTTAAAATTTGGGTTTACTTATATTAGCCTTACCTATACATGATAAAATTTACAAAACATTTGAGCGACTTTTTAAATCTAAGAATAGAAAATCATTGGATTCAAATTTAATTCCATCCATTACAGTAACCCACTTGTAACAGTAGTAACCTATACTGTGCAGCAGAGCGTTTAATATATTATTATTATACTATGATAATAATTGACAAAAATTGTATATCATTATTTTATTATTTTAAATTTATTATGTAAATTTTTATTTTGGTTGAAAGCGGAATCGACGTAAAAAATTCGATATGATATTATTAAGTATTGTTTTCTTATGAAATGCTTTTGGAATGTTACTATGWAGCCATGTAAGAACAATATTTGGAACAAACAACATTAAGAAACATTTATAAAATACTATAAATAGTTACTCGGAAAAAACTTACCTATACAACCAAATAAAATATATATATATATATTACATAATAGTAGGTATTTGAGCTGCAGTCTAGTGAAAATGTATAATCATTTTACTCAGGTCCTATAGTGGCCACTTCTATAAATAAATATAATACTCATTAATGCGTTATAAACTATAATATTATATACATACTATTACATAAAAATTAAATGAACCAATAATATATACGATAAAATAATTGTTTTATTAACCGGTAACCACGATTTGTGATCGACCGTAGATAACCTAGGTAGTAGAAACTAGGTTATTGTTCTATTAATAGTCAAAGACTACATACGTACCAAATTACTATTGTTCTAATATGCTATTACAATATGTAATTGAAATATATTTAGGCATTTAAGTAAATATAGTACTGTTGTACCACGGACTAAGATATCATAGTCCGTGCCTGGTCCGTGGTATTAGCCCGATGTGTAAGATAGGTAATAAAGAGCTGAGAATAAGAATAACTGGTTCTGTGACCACGGATATAGATTGAAACTATACCACTATGGTACCTAATACCACATAGAGGCATAGAATATTAATATTTAATATTCTATGCTAATACCTATACACTATACAGAATAATCGTATCTTAAGCCATGTTCACGAAATCATATAATAATGATAAATGATAATAAATCAAGTTAGATTTAGATAGCTGATATTCAGAATGATTAAATTAATGTTAAAGTCAATAAATACCTAAAAATATATTTTAATGTGTTTACTGTTAAGAGTTGTAGAAATCTATGAAAAAAAAACCAATAGCTCGGAGTCGGAATGACTATGATATCGATATTTTAACAGACAACAGTCAAGTTCACTGCATGCATTGGTGAAATATTTATCATTCATAATTCATAAATCATAATCATTATAAATTGCTACAATCGGCTAACCACTTTAAAAAATCATWATGTAAGTTACTAATATCGAGCTCTTGAAATAAATATGAAATTGATAAGTTATATTTAAATAAYGGCATGTGAAAAACTATACTCACTGAAATTAGAGATTGTTGTAATAGTTTACCCAAAAGGGTTATGTGGTTGTGCCATTAAATTTTATGCCTATACGGCTATACTTCTAGTGGTAAAATGTATATAATATACATTTAAATTTTTAAGTTTCTTTATCTACTTAAGAACTTACTCAAAAATTACATATTTTTTGATATTAATTATAATTTTTTTATTCTATAAGTGATATTATAGATACGATAATGTGTATTCCTGCTTAATCATTTAAAATTTAAAAAACAAATTTTTATTATTTCCAACAGGTGTCTATCAGAATAGAAATATCAAGTGGTATGGACGTATGGTGAACTAAAAATATTCCAGAAGCAACCATCATATATAGAGGATCCTCAATGTATTCGCGAGTAAATATGCACAATTCTAGATACCCAACCCCCAAAATTTGAAAAATCCCAGAGGCGATTGCCTTTGAAATTACCCTTCGCCATGCCATTGGAAATATACCTATATAGTTAATGACTTATAATATTTAAAATGCTTGAATATCAATTATAATTTATGATAAATAATCATACATTTGAAATGTTTAATTTAGTTTTTGAGTATCACTACTATTAATATTTTATTAGGTACCTAATTTAAAAATTTAATACTTATTCTCTCTTCTGCAAACTCTGGAAATTATTGTAAATTAATGTAACCTTCCGCTTATCGAGCATACAGTTCAGTTTTCTTTTGAATAAAGAATTTCTTAATACATTCATTAAATKTCTACCATCAGGGTATATATATAACTTTAAAAAAGCATCACAAGAATATAACATATTTTCCTACATTATAATTTGTAAATCGTATTCCTATCATGATTTTCAGATTTTCAGATCTTTAAACATTTGTTAATTATTATATATTTATAATCTTAGATTATGTTCACAATAAATATGATAGTACCATTTGAAATTGTGTATAAGTTTATAATCRTGATCATGATTAAAGATATAATATTTTTAATCGTGTATATAATCCACCWTGTAAAAAAACATCATGAAAAATCATTGCTGATATAAAAACAGCTGATCGACTGATATTGTTTTCATAATTCATATTATACTTTTGAATTAAATTCAAAATTGTCAGGTTGAGGAATAAAGTATCCAGGTAAGATAAGAAATACATGTTAAAAAATAAAAATACTTTTATAGATCACAAAAATGTATTTTAATAATAAGCAGAGCAAATTAAAACCTATGATAATTATTTATTTATCAACTAAAAATAATCATAACTAATGCACATATGCACGGAAAACATTAATATGATAATGATATTACTTTGTTAATTTCCCGAAGAAATGAATTTTTTATGCAAAATAATAACCAATGCACCAATAATATAAAAAGCAACATGACTTCTTATTTACTCAATTACAAAAAAAATTAATATTAAAATTATTATTATTGCTTTTATTACTGCTGATCATACTAAAATTCATGAGAAATTATTTGGAAACTTCATACAAATATTTTTGTTTTACACCTAATGGAACAAAAAAAAAAAAATAATAATAATAATAATAATAAAATAATATGAGGAAAAAGCTTAAAAGCAAAATTATTTTTGTAACTAACGAGACGAGGAACATTAACACACAAAAAAAATATATAGATATAATATAAATATTACATGTATACATGTACATTTTGTAAAACACAAAGACTAGTTATCTAGATTTTATTAGCTTACAACTAAAGTAAAAGGCTAAAAAAAATTAATTTTTGTACATTTATCATAATAATCATTTTAAAAATATTTAATAATTCCATTTTAAGTTATGATTTAGTTTTAAACATTTAAGACTTGATGAAAATTATAAAAAAAGTTCTGCTGTTATGTGTTTAACTGTAAGTGGTGTTCAGTTTGGGTAACTGAAATATTTTTCAGAGATCATTTTCATAACTTTGTTTAATATTTTCTAAATTGTTTTCAACTTTCACTATGTCAATGGCTAATCCATCACAATTTCGTTTTGTTACACTGTTTTCCGAGTTATAAATTGATACATTTTCATCAATTTCAGTAAAATTTCTTTTTTTAGTCATTAATTTGCGTGTTACTCTTTCATCTTCTGCAGTTTTTTCTCGACGAAATGGAAATACCATGGGATAAATTTGCTCGATTGCCTGGTAAACATTGCCTACACTTGGAGCAGTTACTGTAATACTGCCCGTTGAAAATATTTTCAAAGTAGCTTTTAATTCTTTGATCTTAAAAGTAACACCAGGATGTAACTCGGGTTCATACTGAGCAATTGTTTTATACTTTTCCGAAAACTGTATGACTTTGATCGGAAACGGTAAAGAACATGATCCAAGAACATTGACAATCCTATAACTGCTAAATTTAGCATTGTGATAACCAAGTTTTTGAATAATTCTGGCAAAACGTCTGGATGCAATTTTAGCATGAGTTTCAGATGTAGAACCTGTACAAGCAATTTTCCCACTCGACCAAATAGTGGCTGTAGCATTTGGCTTGCGTAGTTTCATTGTTAACATCCCATTTTCACGTCTATATTCTATATTGCTACCATTAAGAGCTAAGTATCGTAAGTTTAAATGTGATTTTAAACTGAAGTTTGTTACTACATTACTAATAGAAATATTTAGTTTAGGATTATCAGTCAAACAGTCTTGAACTGGTTTGTTTGGTAGAGCATTATTTTCAGACTGCTCATGAAACTCAGACTTGTAGAAGATCATATTGGAATTAGAATTCAATGTAGATGAAGAAATTGAGTTGTTTAAGTCTGTTCCGTTTTTTTGATGAACTATAGAGGTCATCCTTGGAAACTCAAGAAATCAAATAATAAAGAACATTAATTGATTCAGATGCAGCTTGAATTATTAGTTAAAATTAGATTCACGACCAAGTGTTTAGAGTTATACTCTTTAGTTTATCAAAATTAGAGATTGGAGCTAATGATGGTAAATTTCTATATTGATAATTTAATTGAAAGTTTTTGGTATTTGTTTCACTGCCTGTGCTTCTAATATATAAATTCTGTTGATACTTTATTAACCAAGAATCAATTGTTGGAATTGAATTAATGTTTTCCACTTGTCTACAAATTTTTTTTTGGTTTTCTGAAAAAAAAAAAAAAAAAAAAAATATTTTATAACAATTAATATTCGTTCAACACAAATTGAGAACATTAAGCATATAATAGAATATTAAGATAGAAAACAATTTAATAGTCATGGTCGGTGTCATGGGTATTATTTTAATATCTTTTTCGAGAAGTGGTTTTTTTTTTATATCTCTGTTTCATAAATAGGACATAGCAAATTAACTTTACAAAAATCCCTTTTATGTTGGAAAGTAATGTTAGAGGTAAACATATAAAATTAAAATAATATTTTTTAGGCCATATCATGGATTTTTACTAAACATTTTAAACAACATACATTATTTTTAATAAAAAAGTATTAAGTAAAATATTAATATTCTGATATTATATACTTTATATTGTACAAAAAAATACCACAAGATGCCAAAAAATTGTTTATTTTAATTGTAATATGCCTGAATATTTAATTCATAAAATTGCATAAAACTTCACTGATAGTATGTATTGCGTGAGAAATAGTGATAGCATAATCTTTGTGTAACATCCTCTAAATAAAACAAGGTTAAAGGAAACAAGATACCATCTCCTTGTATACAAAATAATTTTCTAAATTAATTAATTAATTTGATTAATAAATAAGTTAATAATATAATAAACCTTATATCTAAATAGCATTTATAAAATCATAGCTGGTAATTTTGGTGTACATACATTTATTATTTAGGGCATTTTCCAACTGTTTGATTTGTATGAGAATTACAGAACTAGTATTTTTTGACTTAACAGTTTACTCATAGGAAATATTAGTTAAACATACTAAAAATCAACATATAATTTATAACACAATATCATAAATAAATGGGTTCTGTACTCAAATGAAAAGCAGTAGCTCGTTATGTTTGTGATACCTTTGGTGATAGGCAAGCTCAATGTTSCTATTGGGCCAATTCGTAGAACTTTAAACTCTTATGGATATCACAGGAAAAATTGTTTTATAAATATATTACATTTACATTAAAAATATTTAACTCAAATAAGTTTAACTTTACATGAAATACTATAAAATTAATATTTTACAAATGCATATTTTATTTTTTTTTATATCAAACTTTAAACTTAGATAAAATATTAAGACATGACATGTATCAAATAATTTATATTTATAGACTAAGAGAGTAAAAAGTAGCACGGCCAGTTAAAAATTATTTTTTTATATTAATCAATATTTTTAAAATAAAAATATACTTATAGTTTGTACATACTTAACAATGGACATTTTTATGTAGTTTATAGTTTAATATTTTATGTGCAGGGATAAAAAGTACCAACATTTAAAGACAAATCATAAAATTTATTTTCATAAAAGGCAATATTATAATATTATGTATACATATAAAATTCAATTATTTAGGCTAGTGTAAAACTGTTTGAAATAAAATAATATATTATACTATAAACAAATTACGAAGTAAAAATTAAAACCACTGAATATAATTTGACAAAGCTTATAAGACAAATGTTTAGTCATCAAATTAGTCTGGGTACTCTTTTATGAAGTAGCATATGTAAATTTATTAATAAATAGATAATATTAAGGGACCCGATTTAATAAGGTAATTAATACTTTTCACGAAATTTATTGCATTGAGGTATTACTATTAACAAAAAACAAAATAACAAAATTTTTTAAAAATAATATAYATAATATAACTAAGAACAGAAATAAATGATGTAGCTATTAAATGAAAAATAATTCTTAATTAGATATTTAATAAATAAAATTATAGTAAAACATAAGGTATATTGATTCCTAACAACATTGAAAAACATAACTGTTATTAATTAACTATTTATTTTTATTTTCTAACAAAAAACTCAAAATGAAACTTTAAAAATTATTAAATGTGATTATWTCTTTCGGTATTTATTTGCTAAACAAAGTCAATATTTTCAATACGTACCGACTTGTATTTAAGTTAAGAGTCAGAAACTAGTCGGTACGCTTACTTGTATATCGCACATTTAACTTCTTGAATATTTGATAATATATTCCACTTTTTACCTTAAAAATATTTATTATTTCAAAATTAAAATTACTAGTTAATTATACTTTAATATGATGAAAAAAAATGTAATTATTGAAATCCTGATATTTGGTTACTTTATACATAGGTAATAACCTAAAATTTAATAGACAATAAATTATATTTGAATTACCCATTTGTTTTAATAAACGTGTTCACACATTAAATATATATATATTAAAACATTCATAAGCACACATTTATGTACACAAATAATAGAAAATAGATAAATTAAAATTATGACTTATATGTAGCTAATATTTAATGATTAAATTAGGATAATATTTACTTTCATAGTGCCACTCTCTACCTAATAAAATATACATAGATTTTTTTATGCAAACATAATAAATAGGTTTCATCTATAGTTTGGAAATTGTAAACCATGCTTTATTATTTTACAAACATAACATAAATAAATCAAGGAAAGTATAAAATAAAAATTACCTTGATTGATTAAATTAACTAATTGTTCAAAGGTGTAATGAKAATAATTACAGTTAGAACCGAATTGACAGTGTCCAGTAGTTCTAAATCGTCGACACGGTTGTTTTTGTCGTTCYTCGAGGAATAATGTTATAGCGTCTGAAATAATACTTTAACATTGAAATTGTATACATTCATGCACTTTTTAAAATTGTATGTACCTTTATACAACGAAAAATAATTTCTTCTATTCTTTTTGTGCGAGTTGCTGTTGAAATGTAGATTACGACTTGATAAGTTGTCTGCAAACGTTATATTACAGTATTCGCATAATATTTTCTTCACCATTTTCAACCGTGCGCTAAATATCTATGTATACTAAATTCATAAAACATCATAAATTTTTTTATAAAAATGTGCAAATAAAATATAACAATAAGAAGTGTCCTGATTTTTTTTTTTTAAACTCAAAGGAAAAACATTATCACTGGATCAAAAGACCCAAATGAGATAACAACAGTGTCAGCAGGTGACACAACTGAAAATTCCAATGAAATAGTTACATATTTATTTAGATTCTCTTTGGAAAATTCAAAATACCACTCATTTTAAATTCGAAAATGTTTTAAATGACTTATGCATTCTTGTAATAAGTTATATTTCATTATTGTATTGTACTCAAATAGTTAAATGGCTGATCACAACTTGTAGCGTTGAACATGTCTGTCAGACTATCAGAATAGATGGTAAATCATACCTACCAAACATAAAATGGAATACGAAGGAACTTGTTAGAAGCTCAAGAAGACCTCATTAGTTATAACGGATTTATATGTCCTAAAAAACCATGAAATATTCTAATATGCATTGAAAATACTGCAAATATGCACTTAAAAATTTTGTTATAATAYTATGCATTTATTTTCAAAAAAAACATAAAATATACATTTATAATACAAATATGCTTTAAAATTTACATATTTATATTTATTATTATTTGTTTAATACATGAGTACAGAACTAACAGAAATATATGAAAGTTGAAAAAAGTATTAATAAAAAGTTAAAATATGCACTTATATATAAATAGTTTTTTTTTGACGATAGTCAACGAAGATAATAAAATATTAGCAACTTTTGTTGACAAAAAAAGAAAGGCGTGACAATCTGACAATATAAAAAATGTTTTGTGTTTTTATTTCTAAAGAAGTAAAGAAAAATTTTAATTGTTATATTTGCAATAATATGACCTAATATATCAATAATATCAAAATATTAAAATATGCATTTATTAATAAAAATGCCCTAATATGCAAAATAAAAGTAGTTAGTGCATTTTTAATTTTAATCACTAGTATGTGAAACAGATTTCTATCTCACCTTTTGAACTAGCCAAAACCAAAAATGCAAAATGCATATAAATCCGTTCCCTAGTTATTAGACAGTAAATATAAAAATTAAAGAAGTGATATTGCCCCAGGCAGATAACCACTGTGCTCATTACAAATTAATATATAAATAAATATAATTTTGGTATGGATGCACCTTCTATTTCGTAGTAAGTATACTTAGTAATTAGTATAAAGTATATATGTATAATAATATACAAAAWATATACGCTAATGGTGCAATTTTTATGAAAAAACTGGTGGCRCTGAAGCACCTTATCTTTAATTTATCTACCTACAATCCATAAATTATTAAGGTGCTAATTGTGTATTTGTGTCTATGTATGTAATTATAAAGTGCATGGTCCGTCTCTACTATGTGTCTGTAAAGTGTAAACGCCTAATATAAATACTCATTTCAGTGTAAAGTTACAGGTGCAATACAATAAATCTCCGGTAATATTTTTGTAAAATAAAGTTTCATTTCTTAAATATAGYGCAAGTTACGCAAGTACGCCATCATCACTCATCATCAGTATTCAGTAAGTACCATGGTAATTTAAACTAGGTACTCTTGATGTTGTATTATTATTATGATATTTAGGCTATATTGAAGGTATAAATACAAATACAATTATATTGTTGATAGTACGAAAACATTTTCTAAAATACACACTTTGTGAGTCTATGTTCATGAATAAGGTATATTTTCCTATTTCAACAGAAAAAGTAGTACCTATATAATGCTTTACATTGTTTTCTCTTGTGTTTTACACAAAAACATCACAAGATTCAATGTAATAGAACCCTATATTTGAAATCGAACTCTAATACTCACATTAGGGAAGTATCCAAAATATTTTGCCTTGATAAAAAGCAAATAAAATCAAACAAATTCTGTTTAAAATTCGATTATTTTTGGTTGATTATTATTATACATACCAAAAATATGCTAAAAACTTATATAGGAAGAAACAATAATAAAATTGTAATTTGTGTCATACTTTAGTATTCAGTTGCTTTTATAATATTTTCACACTTARATCAATAATACACTTATACATGTGGAATCAGATGTTCTTTTTATGAAGAAGGAAAGTCTTGTTTAAGAAAGAAAGAGAACATATAATTGTAATTTGCATTGTTTTTTAAAATTATTTAAGTTTAAATATTTTCACTTTTTGTTTGTAATAAAAACAATCATACCCTAAWTTAATTAGATARTAACTTTTGCATTGCATCGTGTGCAAGCCTAAAATTTTAGTTATATTATACTATGTTCATTTAGTCAATGGTTATATATTATCCATTACTATATAAGTTTATTACGTTATACTATTCTTACTTATGTAATGTCAAATTTAACTATAAAAAAATCAATTTTAATGAATACAGTTATCCATATTTATTAGTCAAAATACATAACATTAGCATACAAATCAATATTATGTTGTAATATTCCGTTTTATACTAAACGGACAAAATAATATTCATAAAACACATAGATATATTTTTTTTAAATTATTCAAAATACTTTTAAAAATTTGTCTTTGAAAGATATTTAAATAATTTGAAAAAATAAAGTTGAATGCAAATCGATTAACGTCTTTCTGTTTTACCAATTCCTCTTTTACCGGCAAACAAGTGTTTAGGTCGTTTGGTTCCAATAAATCTATCAGCTTCACCTTTGAGACCTTGCTTCTTAACTTTCTTCGCAATTGCTTTATGCGCCACTTGTTTAAGTTTCAATTGCATCTGTTAATTTGAATAAATATTATGAAAAATCATATTTAATTTGTTAAGATATCTATGTATATTAAAAAATTGAAAACATACCGATGAGTCACGGACACCAGATTGATTTCTTGGTACTCTACTCTGGCTTCTTGATGTAGATACTGAGCGATGCATAGATCCCAAACGTGGTTTTTTGGCATTTGTTCGTGACTGGGATCTTGTTAATGAACGAGCACGACCACGAGTTTTTGTGAAATGAGCCTAAAAAAAAAAAAAAACATGAGTTGGAGTAGATACATTTAAAATTATAATATTATTACATCATCAGTGCCCTCCATGTCAACACCAAGATCTTCCATACGATTTCTAAAATCAGTAGCACTGCGACCACGAGCTCGAGCTGGGGCAGTTCTAGGTGTTGTAGGTTTACTAGATTGACGAGATATTCTGCTTTCATTACGGTTAATAATTTTGCGATCTCTAATCTTTTGAGCCAGTTCTTTAATTTCTCGTAATGTTTCATCAATTTCAATTTTAGGTACAGCATAATATCCAGCTTCTTCTCTAAGCGCTTCTTCTTTTTCAAGTTCTTCAACTTTCTATATTTTCAATGATAAAAAAGTTCAGTTAGATCAACTTTTAATAAGGTAGTACAATATTATACACACATTTTTAGTTATTAAATTTTTACCTGCAATAATTCTGCATGAATGAAATCAGCAATGTTTCTTCCGTTCCAAAATTCTGGTATTATGTCATATTTATATTCATCAGGTAAATCATAATTCTTTTTAAGGTCCAATATGTAATCATCTCCTAGCTCATCTTCCAAATTTTTCTCAAGCTTCTTCTTAAATTCTTGAAGTTCAGCCAATCTTTGTTTTTGTAATACCATTTCTAATGCAAACAAATAAAATTATGTTAGTGAAAAATAAAAACTTATTTAAGTATTTAATAAGAAATAACAATTATACCTGGTATACAAGCAGGTCGTTCTTTTTCATCTCGAGTTTTAGGCACTGCTACATGTAAACGATTCAAAATTGAATCAACTTTCTTGGCTTGGATTTTGTTTTCAATGCGATAAGCTAAGAGAGTATCACATGCCTAATGATAAAATCAAAATTATAAATTCAACATAATAAGCATAAAATAAATAATATCAAAATTACCTGTTGTTTAACATCCATAACACCTTCATCAGTCACAGCAGACATTGGCAATAATGGTACATTATTTTTTTCAAAAATACTCAATGCTTCACGACTAGCCTCACTTAACTGATCCATAGGTGTAACATCAACTTTGTTACATACTACTAATAATGGCTACAACAATAGTGAATAAGGTATAATAGAAATGCATTAGATATTTTGACAAATGTGAATAAAGTTATATCATTAGCAGAAATCACTTAAAATAATATATAAGTTAACCACTTGCCTTTTTAAAAACATATTTTAAACTTTTACCTTTTATAAAATATAAAGTTTAAATTTAGAATCACTTGGGGTAACGAAACTTAGCTAAGATTAAATATTTGAGAAACTCACCTTGTTAGTGAATAAAGGTTTTATAGACTCGTAAAGCTTAACTTGTTCGGCAATTGAGTGACCACATTGTTCAGAAACATCGATGAAATAAAGAATAGCAGCTCTCAAATGGGCCAAAGCAGTAACTGCCTGCATTTCAATAACATTTCTTTCTTCTAAAGGATGATCTAATACTCCTGGAGTGTCCACCACTTGCCAACGTAAATATTTGTAATCTGTATGTCCAACATACAAACTTTTTGTTGTAAATGCGTAAGAATGGACTTCTACATCAGCTCTAGTTATCTATATATATATAATCAAATCAAATTAYTAATTACGTAATTGTAAATTAAAAAAAATATTTACCTTATTTAAGAAACTGGATTTTCCAACATTAGGGAAACCACACAATATTAATGTTCTAGTGTATGGATCAATTGATGGCAAACGTGATAAATGCTGTCGAACTTGTTCTAAATAAACCAAATTGGGAGCTTGCCTTTTCATAATAGTTGCCATTCTACATTAATTTTATAAAAAATAAAATATATCAATAATTCTAATTGTATTCCTGTACTAATTTGAATAATTTACCGTCCAAGAGCTGCTTTCTTCAGCATTTTACAGCGATATAATGAATCACCAAATTTCATGAGACGAACATAATCTTTACCAACACTATAAGAAAAATGTATTAATAAATTTCATGTTAGAAAATTAAAACTATAAAATTAATTACTTGTCAATAAGATGTCTTGCTTGATTAAGTTGTCCAAGAGCAAGTTTGTAATGGTCCTTATCGTAAAGTATATTCATTAAATCAGCATAAAACGGATGAATATTCTGCAGGAAATTTCAAAATTAGTTAAATACATAAACCATACAATGTTATTATGTTATTATAATTCAAAATAGTCCATACATCTAATTTAGGAAATTCTTGAATGATCATAGACAGGCGTTCATTGAAATTCTGTTGTGTATATCGTACTTTACGTGTGTAAAAAGAACGAATTCTTGATATTTTATAATGTTTGTGCACAACAGTTGGGGTCTTACGTTGAGTTTTTGATAACATAATATTAACAAAATCCTGAAACAAACAAAATCATTAGGATAAAATTAGTTACAAGCTTGAAACTATATTACAATATTAGAAATTAATGTTATTATATTTAGTAATTATCAATATAAAAATAAAATATTTTACCTTTGCGGTAGGTACGACCGTGATCTTTTTGAAATTATACAAAACCATTTTGTCTGATTGATTAGCTTAAATTATAGTAAGTAAAATAATATTAAAA